AATTATTTTTTTTACTAAAACGTGCAATGCAGATTACAGTAAAAAAAAACTGCAGAAAAAAACGGAAAAATTAAGAAAAAGCCGACGCAAAATTCCAACGCAGGGGGGTTCAGAATCATGTACTGAATTCATGGTAAGCGGCTTCGGTACACCGTCCCTTACACCCTTCATAATATTAGACATACAGGAATAACCAGATTCACCAACAGAAAGAAAAATGATTGTAAGTAACAATTGTGTGCGCAACTGTACTTTTTTATAAAATTTTACATTTTATTATAAAATAAAGGCTTATTTTTTTGAGGTATAATAGTATTTGGGCGAATAGTCCATTACTAAATTTTACTTGACCTTATTCGCCCGCTATAAAATTTGTCTCGGGCGAAACCGGCCCTAAAAAATATTCAAAATTTAAAGTAGTTCATTCGCCCGATTCGGGCGAACAAAATTAGGGCGAAACCGCTACTAAGCCGGGATTTTTAGTTAGACTGAGTATTTTTGATTTGACCAAATCTAAGTTCTTGTTGTTTTTTTTTTAATCCCCACTAGGGTTTTCTCCTGTGTCGTGGGTGCGTTTACAAACATACAAATTCACATACACATGACACCCAGACCATTACTGGATAACACAAAGTGTTGTTCCGTGCGGAAATCGAACCCGTAACCGGCGACACGTTGCAGGCAGCCGGTTACCCAGCCTATACACCAACCGTGCAGTCAATTTCTGCTTTAAAATAATTAAATAAGAAACAGTATAAATCGATTTCAAAAACTAACTAAAACGTACTGTTTTGAAATAGTACATTTTATTGTTCAGTGCAAAAACGCCCCTATTCAACCCACATCACGGTATTATGAATAGTTGACAATAGAAACAGATTATTTAGCGTGATAGCAAGGAAAGCTTGTACTAAAGTCCAGTTACACCAACTTGTTGCTAGGGATGACGTCACCCTGTTGTTGTTTAGAAAACCATTGTTTTGATACACTAGTAATATTGATTAACCTAAGTGACCTATTTACACAGTTTTATAGGAACTAGTTCATACGAATTACGCTGGTTTTACGTTGAGGTTACTATCGAACTAAGTAGTATTTGAATTGGATTATTTTTTACGCTGGCGACTCTATTCAAGGCCGTTTTTACGTTGGAAAAATGTTTCGCAGTAAAATGTGTATAAAAAAATTATCTTGTTTTTTTATATCGTTTCATTGAACGCAATTTGCATTTCTTACGTAAACATGTGATCAAAATTATTTTATTTTATATTTTTCGATCTACCACAGATAAAAGAAAGAAAATTAACGTCTGTTATCTTTGCAAAGACATCATAACCGTCCCCAAAAAAAAGTAGCAGAGTTACGTTGTCTATGCCGCAATATAGCTAAGCCCCTAAACCTGTCCATAGAGCACCATAGAGCAGGGTAACGATCGAGCATTCATTCAAAGGTTTTAAGTTAATGAAGTAAATGTTTATGGATGTAAGCGACACTTTAACGTACAAAGATTATGGCGATCTTAGTGTAATGAGCGGGGCTTATGCGTAGCCATGCTTCTAAATGAAACAATATCGAACATTACTTTGATGGGACCACACCGATTGAATGAAAACAAAAAGATTGATTTCTGAAAAAGTGTGATTTTACTAATATGCATTATGTTGCGCTGTCAGTCAAAAAACTATTTAATATGCAGAAAAAAAAATTAAAACTAACTATGATTCAGTAGAGTAAGTATAACTAAGTAAATAGGGTAAATTGTATGCTTTTAACGAAAGCCAAACCTCTTTTAGGTAGACATTAGTCGGCTCAATAGCCGCCCAGTTACTGTTTCTGTATTGTACTGAATTTTTTACCTGCATACCAAACATCCTGGTTGGCTGACTGTGCATATTTTGAAAAATATTTTAAACAATTCCTTAAAACTTATCTTAACAATACTTTTAAAAGTCCCTCCTTTTAAAGAACAAAATATTAAAGTATTTTGTTCTCAGTTAGGATTAAACAAAATGTCTTCTTGTAAGATCGTGAAGTATAAAAATTGTTGTCATTGCAAAAAGTGATCTAAGTCAAAGTCGAAATCATTTATTTCAATTAGACAGGAAGGCACTTTTGAACGTCAACAACAAAAATTTTGAAGTGAAGCTATTTGCTCATTCCAAAGTGTAGATTCCTATGGAGAAGAACGAGCAAGAAACTCCGTAGGTTACCTACTTTTTTCAATCGGGCTTACAATACAATTCTAGTTAATTCGTTCTGTTGATTCGATTGTGGGAGAACAATGCAACACCTAGATCCAGTCAAAGAGAATCAGATCGATTCGGAATTTAGAAATTTTAAGATCACAATTATTATATTAATACTACTATCTACAACAGTCTTCAAACAATAAGGTAACTCAGCCAATAAATGAGATAAAAGCTCTAGAATTCTAGAATATGATTAGGAATAACTGATGACTTATTAATGAAATAAGTGCTAAAGTTAGTGAGTTAAATAGTTAAGTTAATAAATTCATTGGAGACTGGTTTAATTTTTGCAATGGAAACTAGGACATCGCATACTGTTCTCAAAGAATATAGATCGAGATATATGTTTGCGTAGTATTTATAGAGATGGTTTTCGAGTTAGATTTAGAGGTATCTATGAATATAATTTTACGATGTTAATAGATTGCCAGTAGTGGATCGGATTTTAATAATATTATATTATTATTTTTATGTAAATTGTTTGTTTGTTTGTGCACATTCGCGCTAATCTCTTGAACTACTTTGACCGATTTGAAAAATTCTTTCTATATTGGGTAGTCCATTTATCTTGGAAGGCTAGAGGCTATAAAACATCAAGGTACGATCAATAGGAGCCGAGTACTGGTTCTATCTGAATAAATATTTTTGAGTTCCATAGTGCATTTATCGAGCGAGGCTACAAAACAGTAAGTTAACTCAAAATGCCTACTAAAGGATAAATCGTCATTTATACCAAATACTGATCTCCAATAAAAACCGGAATTAGAAAAAGATAAAAAAAAACTCCACAAAAACAATAGAAAAAAAAACGGCCTTTTCTCCAATTTCAAATGTAGACAAGTGTTATAGACATTGTATAAGCACTTCCGGTTGCTTGGACGAGCCGGTAAACAAGCGACGCGACGTAATGAGAACAACTTGTTCCGCTTAGCTAAACTAAACTACATTGCACGCCAATTAAGTTCAATTTACAATGAAAACTCTTACCAAAGGGTTGAAATTCAAATGTTAGAATTTTATGAACGTTGGGTAAATGTTGTTTTTTTTTTATTGTTTTTGACGAAGTTAGGTATTGCGTAATCGCAACTGGGTCATTACATACCTAGAGTTGGTATTGAAATATGTAGTAGGTACACAATTTTTTTATGGTAGGTAAAAATTGTAAAAATTCGAAACTTGTCAATTTTACTTTTTACTTTAAATTCAATGACGGAAAAAGCACTCAAAATAAGTATAAAGAGACACATGCCAGCACAAGAAGCTACCCCAAGCTGTGAAAATTCATCAACACATTGTCATCTCTATCACAAAGAATTAAAGTTGATAATGTATTACAGGAATTTAATGAATAGTATAGGTCAACTAGCACACTTGTACTGTTTTTTTTTTGAGAGTTGAAATATTTATGATAAACTAAATCATTATGGTACTTAGTAAAATTATTATCTCTTAATTTTATACTTAGTAATAATCAATTAAGTGTAAGCAAGAAATCTTTGCATAAGAAAAAAAATCCCTCTTATAAGACATCTAGGTTATCTAGAAGAGCTACTGTAAACTAAAGAAATACTTGATCTTATTGAAATATAAATACTTTGGTAATCTGTATTTTTTTAATAAAATAATAATATAATGTTTTTGACTTAGAACTCCCCCTTCATAAATAATAAAGAAATGAATGGAACAACAGAAAATTAAAGATTTTGTAACAATAGGGATAGAATTAATCAGTTTTATATGAAAATGTGAGTTTAAAGCTGTTCGTCAAAGTTATTTTAATCAAAGTAATTCTGTTCAAGTTTAGTTCACTTGTATAAAATATGATGGTTTATTTTTGTGTTTGTAATTATTATCTTCTTCCAACAAAGAAATAATAATGTTTTAACAACAATAACATTATCTGTTTGTCAACCAACATAGACACATAACAATAATAGTTTAGGAACTTAGCATCAAATGAGTAATCAAACAAGTACCAACCTTAGTCCTATTCCTTTTCATTCTTGTATCTGGAGTGCTCTCTCCCTCTGCAGGCTTCTTGGCTGATGAAGGCCCATCATTGGACTTGCTGGGTGACGCCTGCCTCCTTTTGCGCATCGGTGGTGTCACTGTTGCCAACTTCATTGTCGACTTTGGCTTAGAGTCAGCTTTGGCAGGTTTAGCCTCGGATTTCTTATCCTCAGCTTTCTCCTCAACCTTCTCTTGTACTTTGTCAACCACCTCTTCCTTCTTAGGAGATTCAGATTTCTCAGGTTTGTCAGCGGCTACTTCTTCTTTCTTATCTTTATCTTCGGCAGAGTCTGCCGGCTTCTGTTCCACTTTGACTTCCTCTTTTTTCTCTTCTGGTTTTGCTTCAGGCACATTTTCCACTTTTGGACTTTCGGCTGCTGGAGAATCCTTTTTTACAGGAGTTGGTGCCTTCTCTTGCACTTGATTGTCATTAGCAGACTCTGGAACCGGCTTACTGTCACTTTGTGTTGGTGCAACATCTGCAGCCGGGGCTGGTTTTAACTCTGATGGCTTTGATGGGGACTTCTCTGAAGGCTCGGTAGCTGTTGCCACTTTGGGTTGTACTGGACCATCAGTGTTAGTAGTTGTAGTGTCAGACTTTTGTGGGGTACTTGGTGAACTTGATGGCTTTTCAGGTGGTTTCGGTGTACTTGGTGAAGTCTTAGCGATATCCTGTTTATCTTTGTTAGACTCAGGGTTCTGTGGTTTCAATGGAGCAGGAGCATTTGCACCAGACTTTGGAGAGTCAATAGTGCCATTGGCATGTCCAGTAGAATCTGGCTCACTCTTCTCAGGAGTTATAGTCAGAGCAAGAGCCTTGTCCTGGACGAGACTGAGAGGAGTGACTGGGTTGCTGCCTTTTGTGGGGCTGGCGGCCAAATTAGAGGGGCCGACGGAGTTCTGGGTGACATGCGAGAGGTTGCCATGGTGACTCATGTTCTGTGCCATTTGTGCCATGTTGGCAGACACCGGCGCCATGGGGGGCGGCGCGTGAGGTACTTGAGGCGCGGGCGCGTGATGCGTCAGGTTCTGGCCGACGAGGTTGTTGCCGGGGTGGTGCAGCGAGTTCTGAGCGCCCTGCGGGTGCCCTACGGTGTGGTTCGCAGTGGCCACGTTCCCCTTCGCGGGGCTCGCCTGTCCGCCCGGCTGCGGCACTCCCGGCTGGGGCAGCACCGGCTTTAAAGCAGAATTCATTTCAAACGCGTCTAAAACTCGCCTCCTGGCCGTACACAAGCTGAAACACAAAGTTAACCGGGTTTATAACACTGTTTTCGTAGCAGGTTAACACACCGCGATGTCTTTGACCCACAACAATAATTCATACATAATAAACGTATATGCAGTACGCGCGTAAGAACGCGGGGACGGGGACCGATCTGCCCGCCTAGCGAGTCCGCTTTCTACGTTGGCGCTAATGAACGGTCAATAGATATTGTTGAGAAGTTACCACTAGCTGTTAAATCGAGAGCAGCCCATGAAATAAGTCCTGTGTGGCGGCCCGCGGCAGAGATAGCCGCAAAAAATATGCGTTGCTATAGTCAAGAAACTTCCGCAAGATATGACCCGCCGTTAGCGAAGTCTACGTGATGTCACTGTCTTTTTCAATCACTATGAACGTACACTTGATCTCACTCGCGAATATGTAATTCCATGATTTATTCACACTTTTTACCACGAATTAGCATTCACTTTACTTTAGACCAAGTACATAATAGGCACAGTAGTCGCAGAGATGGCGTCGGCATAACGCGCATGCGCCACCCTCTTGTACTCTCGTCCAATGAAATCCCGTGACGAAACGAAGCCTAAACGAATTTTTACGAGCATGCTATCTCTTTCAGGTTTACGTGATTTTCATAAGTCTATTTCGGTTTTCTCAATGTCGCGTTTGGATACGTTCGTATAATTTTAAAATTATTGTTTTAAAATATTGCAAAAGTTTGAAAAACGGTTTTTTTATAAATCTTCTTTAAATTCATTTTGGCCAAAGCAGGTCACCTATTGATTTTTCATATTGTCTAAGGCGGTTTGAGGCTCATTTTTCTTGGCTCATATTTAAGAAACCATATTAACGATTTACATACAATATTGAACTTTTTATGATGTTGATGTTTCATCATTGCATTGCATTAATTTTGCACCAATATTTTGCACTTAGGTCAAATTCGAGGGTGATGGTTAGGTATTTGTCTAACTTTTTTGTGTTTTTTTTAGATAATATAAACATATAGACCAAGCACGTTCTTGATTAGATCAGTCAGATCAGAAGGAAGTGTAACAAAAGGAGTTGCATTATAACTTTTATAATAGATTTTTTCTTCTTATAGGTGACATGGCCGTAAAATGAAGAAAGTGATACGGCAAAATATTGTAGTATGTTCATTAAAAAGATCTTTAAAATTTAGAATAATATCAGAAAAAATCTTAATTAGGCGAATAAATTCACAAACAAAATACTATTATGAACTTAGTATATCTTTAGAAAGTTTAAGCTTAGTTAATTAAACAAGTGATTTTCGTATTTATTTACGTATCTATCCTTTTTTCGCCTAATATAAAATGCATTCGTGCCATTCGTGCATACAAGCGCGGAGGCGCACAATTACACAATATGCTCAAAATGTCAACTTTTTAATGTCATAGTTGTGGAATGGAACGTGCCCAGACATTTTTAATTTCTTTCATTGTCCCATGTGCATTATTTATGAAAATCAATTTAAATTGGATTGATTTGTAGTTTTGTGACAGAAATTATTATAAAATACTAGTAACGCGAAACATAATCCAATATGGTAAGTGTGTGGTGTAATAGTATTAGTTTGCACCCGTTTAGTTATTCGAAAAAACTTAGGTTGCGGTGAAGACACATTTTGTGTTTTTTGCAAGCTTAACATTTAAATTGATGACTACACAGCTTTGTTCTTTCATCGAGTGTGTATTTAAAAGTACTCTGCAACGCGTGTTATCAAAAATATCGACTAAAACGAAGCTCTGAGAGACGTCTGTATAAGTAGAATATTCGTTGTTTCAGGATGTTTTATCGCGACCCGCTGAAGAGTTTGGCAATGATGAAACTTTGGAGCGCTTATGGGCTGCGAAAGCTATGGAGCACAGTGATATTTACTTCAATGTTAGTACTTTATTAATTAGTGGCGTGACCTGAATTTAATTGGAAAGCTAGCAACTGAAATATATTTCTGATATGAATATATTGTACTACATGATTGTAATAAGATACAAATTTATCCTTTGCAACCAAGTTTGAGAACTCTGTAAATTATAAAAGAGATACCTACTTACATTAATTTTATTTGTATAATAATATCATTTTTACATTATTTTATAAAAAAATTAAGTTTTCTTGCACATATTTTCAGATGCTTTGTTCCGTGGACACCAGATGGCTGCAGTTGACTCCAAATGATGATCTAATATACACACACTTCAAGCAAGACTTCCCAGACATGGATGTGTCCTATGTCAATGAAAATGAAATTAAGAACAGCACAAACAAAGCCAAGTGGAGAATATTTTGTGAAAAGTTTAAAAACATTGTGGAAGACTACAGCTTCGGTACTCTCATGAGAGCTGATGCTAAGGGAGACTACTCTGAAATGAATACAATGCTTGTTCCTAGAGTACAGTTTTATGCCATAGAAATTGCAAGGAACAGAGAGAACCTGAACAATGAAGTAAAGAAACGATTCAAGTGTATGGCAAAACCCAACATAGAGGCTCAAGAACACTCCAGCAAGATCGCCACATAAAAATATTACAGCATACAGGCTAGTTTTGACAAGGAAAGTTTGTTTTTAAATAATTTGAAATCGAAAAAGGCAGTAACTGCAAACTGCCTATTTGGGAGTGATGATAATTAATATTAATGCCTACTCTGTAGGAATCGAAGACTTGTGATATTTATGCATTAATTGAAGTAAAATTATTTGTATATTTTTAATAGTAATGGCAATAAAATCTGAGAGTATGTCTTTGTAAACTATCTCTTGTGAGGAACTAATTTGATCATTTGTATACTGAATGTAACATTTTCCTTTGTACTTACTAACATAGCAGCTACTTATATACTTTTTGTAAGAAATAATGATAATTTTTATTCCGTGTAGTTGATTCTGTCATGACTGGTAACTCTTCTTGTATAAACTAGCCTAATTTTTGAAGACCTAAGCATTCTCAAATAATGATCAATGTTCATGTAGCATGTACTCTCTCTTAATACACTTACATAATTACTGGCCAAATATACTAGCTCTAGATATTAGCCACCGTCCCACAAGTGACTATAATAATATGTACTCAATTTTGCCTGCTTCTCAATTTAAACAGTATGCATAGAATAACATAATCAGTAATACATTTACCTAACTAAGTGCATGTTTAGATTTTAAATATTTTTACAAAAACAACTTTTAATGCTATAATAAGATAAAAGGCGGGCCTTTCTGTTATATTGAAACTTGTTTTTGTAAAAATGTACACCTACCGATTAGTAAGTTGTGATTGTCTTAATTGAAAAATGAATGAGGTGCTCTATTGCTCATACATTTTTTATATTAAAATTTATATACTATCGTAATTATAAAATGTGTAGTTTGATTTACATCTAACGGTGGTATAAATTGAAAGCGAAAAAGCAATAAATAGCGAGCCCCTTGATGGTAAGCAGTTACCGCAGTTTACTGTAGTAGCAGTTATTGCAACAAAACTGCGTTGTCGATCACGACATTCCGCCGGGGTATTCAAGCCAGAACCCTCCCCACTTGCAGACGTAACACATCAAGTATCGTGTCACTTCTTCCTGCTATACTTCCACATTGGAACTGACCCATTCAAATGACGAACAGCAGACAGGCTTTCTGTCTAACTTAGTGTAGTGGTGCATTGTTGACTTTGATTCTGTTTTTCCTACGTAGAGCATACCTGTGCAAATGGATTTTACGACTTTATTTAATCGTTGGTCAAATGGTCACTTGCGACTGCACTTGCTGGACAAGCAAGCTGTCCAGTGACAGCTTGCTTGTCCAGCAACGAAACACGAACCAGTGTTCGTGTTTCGTTTATCGATGATTTCTCAGCAATAGCACGGAGGTCTAGTATAAGGCAATACTCACCCCGTATATTATCGAACAAGCTAAATATGATGACGAAACAAGATGAAAAATGGTAGCACATAGTTTTGTAAGCCTAGTCTTTTCGAGGGGTTTACGTTATTCATTATTTCTTTCATCCTGTGTCGCTACTGCTTAGAAGCCCAAATAAACCGAATCAGTGCCTTGTAGTTAGTAGTGTTACGATAGGTCGTAGCCTAAAACTCATCATAGCCTATGATGCTGGGGCTATGATGAGTTTTTATTGATCATGATGTAAAAATGATTAGGTTATGTTTACTCCAGTACCTACAAAAATAATTTAGGTAAATTTCTATGAACTCCGCCAGAAGGCACTTGCGAGGATGGTTTTCAACAGTAGGTACTCTTACTTTTTCCAAATAAACATGGGATTGCTAATCACTAACTAGTTTCTCAGCTCAGCTATCTGACATACAACACACCACAGCTGTAACTACTAAACATGACACGCAGCACAAGGGCGTAGAGCAGTGACAAGAGAATGTTTTTGCTTTGCTAGGTACTTCACCCGGGTTGAAGACAAGAGTGACGAGTTGAAAGTTATAGATAGATATAAGTCATTCGCCTAAAAGGAAATTGACAAAATACCGAAGATAAAGATAGGTTCTATATCTAACGAGAAATGAAATAAAAGACATCATTTAGGAGTTTTTCTTTTTTATTTGTCTTAAAATCTATATTTACGAGGTCTCCATAGCGGTGGCGGTTTCCTCAGTGTATTTGCCCTTGTCTTTGCCGAGGGCGGCCAGCCTGCCCTTCGCTCTGCGGTCGAGGATCGATTTACGGTCCTTGTTCATCTTTAGTTTGACGATCACGCACTAGAAGATAAAGTAACATTTTATGATAAGATTGAAGGTAGAAAGAAAGTTGTTGGATTTAGTTTTGTGGGTAATCAGAGCCATGGAAGTGTTTCAGCAGAACCCGTGCCCCTGCATACATCGCTAGGCTTCAGTATGTCATGAAGGCACGGTCTCAGTTCAGTGTTATCATCATTGGAAGTAAATTGGACCAATTTGCTAAAATGTACAAGAAATCAAGATGCTTAACTCGTCATTATAGACACAATTATAGAACAATAGGTTGCGGTCACCGGTGACCGTTTGGTGTTTGACAGTTTAATATGAGATGCATATTATGTACTCTAAACCAGTTAAACACTATGTTTCTGAAGCAATACAGCTTTATCTGTCAAAACACCAAGCAGTCACTGGTGACCGCAACCTATTGTTCTATAATTGTGTCTATAATGACAGTACTCAAAGACTTAAAATCATTAATATGTATTACAGAGTATAAAGATAAACCTTTGTTATGATCAGTTTTACCTAGTTTAAAAAATAAAACTGTATGTATAAACTAAATTAAATGTAATGTATTACCTTTGAAGGGTGGATGCCGACATATGCACTGGCACCGTTAGCCTTCTCACGCTGGATCCTCTCAATGTAGACGACAAACTTCTTACGGTACACCTGCACTACTTTGCCGACTTGCTGGCCTTTGTAGTGACCACGGACAACCTAAAACATAGTACACATGTTCAGTATTATGTACTATGTATTACAAAGGAAAACAATTATAACCTAAGAGTTATCTATTATGAAGTGTTCTTAGAGTCAGCTCAAGATAAATAAAGTTATAATTCATAAACAAATACCAACCCTAAGTAATTTGGCAGCATTTGATCAAAATTTGCTCTTTGCTAAAGTTAACTATGCTGGTCAATGTGCTTTGCTGTCAGCCACATCTGTAAGGACCAGAATTATCTTACTGTTTAGCTCAGAGGAGCTCATTTACATTTAACCCGTTGAAATCCATCCCCTAAATTTGGTCATACAAAAGTAGTCTCTAAACATTACAAATAAGGTCTATAATATAATGTAATATTAGTGGAAAGCGGTCACCGGTGACCGCTTGGTGATTTATGGGCTAAGATTCTATTTTTGAACTTACAAAATAAAGTTAGATTGATTCATCACAAAGGCAATTTAGCAGCAGTTGTAAAATTTGACTCAAAACATGTCTGTTTGTGGTAACATGATTGATATCATTTGATAAACTGATTTGCTATTCTAAAGAGCAAGACTGTGGAAGAGTGATTCAAGTACTATTAAACTATGTTTTCAGGCCACACCACCTAAATTCTATGTATGTTGTGCAAACAATCAGAGCCTTAGTTCCACCATGGCACAGACTAGCTGGCCGCGCCGAGGACTCATAAGAGAAAACCTCAAACTTGTCCGTAGCACGACTGCAATCATCTGTGGTCTAAGAATGGTTTATTCTTCATCATATTGATTTGCACATACAAACATAACCTACAAAGTGTATACACGTTAAACTAAAGGTTCTAGACTCACCTGAACTTCATCGTCCTTACGGATTGGCATAGATTTTACGTTGAACTTCTGTCTCAACTCTTTGGACAGAGGCGCAGACATAAGCACTCGTCTGATGTGAGAAGGAGCGCTGAAGTGCCTCTTCCTGTTTTTCCTCCTGGAGGATGTGACGAGCTTATTGTACTTCATTCTGACGCTCTTCACTGAAAACACAGAATACCACGTTTTAACTTCACAGTTATAAATGTTTAGGTTACTGTTCCGTGCATGCTAAATGTCAAGTTGCCGCGGCGAATATTTTGATAAACAACAAGAATTAAAATGAAAATATCCATCGTTTGTGGTGTGGAATATATTGAAAATTTATAATATAACATTTTTAGTCACATAAATATGAACAAATACAAGATTTTCACGGATTAAACAACGTACCCTAAACAACTCGGCAAAGAACCGAAATAAAAAGAAATTATACTAGTGTTGCCAACTTCACAAACATAAAACTTGCTGTCAAAATGTGAAACTGTCACAACATTTTTAAATTTGACGACACTTATTATATTTTTTCACTATTTATTAAATTATATGATCGCTAATAATAAAAAGGGCAGTAATGGGCAAATTAGAGATCTTGTTTTCAATAATCTGGCTGAAACAATTTATTTTGTTTTTAATTAATTGGCAACTCTGGCTTGCTACAAAAGATTGTAGTTTCTTTTTACGCAGTAGACGTAAACAAGTCATAATCAGGAAAGAAAAATGTTCGTTTTGATACAAAACGGGTAATTTGAGGAGGTAAACGTAAGTTTACATTTAAAAGTCATTTAAAAAATTGTGTGTGGTAATTCTATACTTAGGTTCTATTGTTTCATAAAGTAGCTGTTTAGGACTACTTAAAACTGCTAAATTCAGTTTCTTTGTTAGGTACATATTTGTCCACAAAATGCGAATTACTTAAATTAACGTTCAAATAAAACAATAAAAATATCTAAATAATTGTCTCAACAAGTTATCAACGGCCTTGTTCCTAAAAAAACAAAATAATCACTCGAATAATTAGTACTCGAACCATTTCATCTGAGGAGTTGTGTATATGTAAATAAATTGTAACCTATATGTCGCTTTTAATTGCAAATTATAAATAATTTAATTTAATATTATGTCTTTAATCTTTTGAATTATCTTTTGAAACTTATATATAAATACGTGTAACGCCATCTTTTGGTAAACGTTCCGACTGTTTTCTTTTTTTTCAGATTTTTTTAAGGGATCGGACCGGACGGCATACTATTAGGCGTATCATCTATCTGAGCCCTGAGCATCACATTCTAGCCGCGCCGCCCATGGACACCCGCAACACCAGAGGAGTTACAAGTGCATTGCCTGCCTTTGGGGGAAGGTGAGGGCCCCACAACACAGCATCTTTTACTTAGTATTTAATGCCTAATGACATCCACACATGCCACATCATCGCTTACCATCAGACGAGATGGTGGTCAAACGTCGACCTATAAAGTATAAAAAAAAAATAAAAAAAAACTAGTAATTACAATAATGCCAAGTAAATTGAATTAGGTACACATTATAAGAATTTGGTTGGTACATGACATTAAATAGAAGTAACAATATTATTTTCATCAAAATGTTAAAATTTTCATAAAATGTTTAAATGCTAAATACAATGTCAATATGTCAAAACGTTACACTACTATATTTGTATTGTAAGTTTCGTGAGACATACTAAATAAATTATTATGTTTTCGGCTTACTCACGTAGTAATTCGACGAGGAACTCGACTAGTTTCAAGCTATGCTAGAGGCTCATATTCATGAGCAGCACGTTACACTACTGTATGATAATATTGATAATATTACTGTGCCAAAAGCAACTGACGAGCAAGCGGCCCCACCTCGATTCCCGAGTTGGCCTAAGTACTTATTAATGTGTGTTGTTGTACCTATATACTGTTTGTTTTTCGTTTCTCAATAATAGTATCTACGAAGTCAAAAAGTTATTGTCAGAAGTGGGATTCGAACCCACGCCCACAGAAGTGGACTGCGACCTGAACGCAGCGCCTTAGACCGCTCGGCCATCCTGACTATATGCACTATGCCTGAATTTAATGTCTATTGAAGAACATGTAAGTATTAGCTG